AGTAAAATTATTAATACTTTTATTACTATAATAATAGAAGAGTAGTAGGCTATTCTATAAAAGAATATAGATAACTATATTTTATCTATACTAAGACGTTATAGAGCTGTAGTAGAAGCTAAGAGGTGGTATACTAAGTACTAGATTTAATATATTATCTTTTATATTCTTTTATTACTTAGAAATTACTTTTATTTATAGCTTTTATTATACTATATATAGATATATTATATCTCTATATAATATAGATCGTATTTAAAGTGATATCCATATATAATAAAATCATAAAAAACTTAAAAATTTAAGCGCGAAATAAATAGAAATATCTATAGATTTCTAAAGCACGAGGTTTTCGGTATATTTTAGCTAACGAAAAGGCTAACTTTTAGTTACGTAACTCTCCTATAATAAACTTAGATATCTTAGGTTTAAAATGCATTAGCCTGTTTTAGGATAGCTTTACTAGTTATTAAGTAATAATTGTTTAAAAACGACAACTTTTTGCATTTCGACGTTTTTTTGTCACCCCACTATAGTAAGTTTAATAGTAGTTTTTAGTAAAGTATAAGCTTAGAAGTATTTACGCTTAATAAGTAAATTAGATAAGTACTATTATTATATAATATAGTAGAAGAATTAGATAATTGTTTCTTAGAGTATAAGAGAGGAGGTATATATTACTTAGAGACGTTAGACTAGTACTAAACTAAGGCATTCTAATAAAAGAATTAATACCTCTTAGAGTATGCATTAACTATAGGATTATAAGACAACCCTCAGTCTAAGAGAGTGTATTATAGAACTAATAGATTAGTTAGTTAGTAACTAGGTTAATCTAAATTATATAATCTGTTAGAATAAGGAGGGTGCTACTTGTTCTATAACTAGCTAAGAGGTAGAGTCGTCTACTTGTCTAGCGATAGACTCAGAGGTAGCGAATCGATAGGTTCTAGAATGAAAAGAGAGAAATGCTAGGGGAGAGAGATTGAAGAATTGGATTAGTCCAATCTTATCTGGTTGTCTGCACTAGTAGTCTGCTTTGTGCTTATAATCTGCTCTAGTTTCTATCTACTAGCTATTCTACTACTATATATATTAGCTATACTAGATTCTAGAAGAATCTATCTAGTAGTAGATTACGTAGCTATAGACGTAATCGATAGATAAATTGTAAAGGGATTGGTTGACTAAAGAATCCGAGTATAGTGCTGATTACCTAGATTATGTTAGAGATTAGCTAATTAGCTTATATCTCTAACACAATCTATCTAATTCTTTAATCTATCTAATTTTATAAGATAGAGAAATAGTAGATTAGATAAAAACTAAGATAGATTACTAAATAGAGTTAGACTTAGGTAAATAAGTATATAGTCTAACTAATCTACTAACCTAGATTAGTCATTGAATTGGTCTATAATTCTTATTATACTCTATTTATTCAAAGTTCTTTAGCCTTTTATATCTTTTAACTTACTTATTACTAGATATAAAGTATACTTTAACTAACGTTATTATTTTGTCTATATTTTAGAACTAATAACCTTGTATACTAGATACAGAGGGGTGACACAAATGAAACGTAATTAAAAAAGCTCTAGTTTTTAATCAATTATAACTTTAGATCCAGTCTAGCTAGAACTAAACCGGTTAGTGCCCTGAAGAGCTACAATTTAGGAGATTAAAATAGGTCACTAGCTTTTTGCTTAGTAAGTAGCTTACTAAGTATATATATGGTTAAAACAGACGTTATTAAAAATCGATTATTAAAGCTTATATAACTTTTTAATAGACCTATAGAATTTACTAAAGAGAATATATGTTGGTATATCCTTAGTAAAGATCACGAGACTTAATTTTCAAGTCAAGTTTCTTAGATTGTTAATTAAATATCTTTAATATAAAAAACTAGCTATAGATTACTTAATAAATATTACTAATCTAGACTAGTAGTAAGATAGTATATCTTAATCTCTACTTAGTTATAAATTCTCGTCTTCTAAGTCCTTAACATAGCTCCTAAATTTTCTAAATTAGAAACTGAAATCTCTCGTTTACTTAACGCAAAAATCTCTCCTAAAAATATAATTATTACTCTTAATAAGTCTTCTAAGACTATTTACGATGATATTTATCGTATTAAGAAGAAAAAAAAACTAAAAATCTAACTAGAAAGAGCTAGTAAAGGAGGGGTTTTAAAGACTTTAACTAGAGCTAAAAGAGCTATTAATAGCGACTTAACTCAGAGTCCTAAGAAGTAAAATAAAAGACTATTGGTTAAAAATAGTCTAGATGTATCTACTAGAAGCTTATAGCGGCTTTTAAAAGACGAAGGATATAGCTGTAATGTAGCAAATAAAAAGTCTGTTTTAAACGGTTTTAAAGCTAAAAATAGGCTTATTTTTGCTAAGGAGCAGCTAAAGGATATTAAAAATATTAATTTTACGAAGATTATATTCTCAGATGAGTTAGTAATCTAGCGTGGACACGGTTCTAGGAAAGAATATTACCGAAAAAGAGCTCACAATAAAGCTGGTAAAGAACTAGTCTCTACTAGGAATAAAAGTAAGTTTAAATATATTTCTAATGGGCTATTTTACTCAGCTTTTTATCTAGTTTTTTTATATAATTCTAGTTCTCTAGTAGCTACTTAGCTAACAGAAATATAGCTCGCGATATATCTATTTAAATCTTGGGAGCTATTTGGATAGGTGGACGATCTGATTTAGTTGTTATTAAAATACTAAAAACAACTGTAAACCTTAATAATCGCTACTATATCTATAAAACTCTAATCCCTTAAGTTCAACCTAATATTAAAGGCGGTAAGTGATATAGCTTTTTTTTATTATCTTTTAAGTTTATTTTTCTCTCTACGCTAAGATACGTAATAATGAAATAATATAAACTAAAATAGATGCTAATAGTAATATAGGGTGGTAATTTTAGCAGGATAACTCTAAAATCTATACTACAAAGATCATTTGTGCTTGGTTTTTAAGAAATAAAGTCAAACTTTATTCTCATCCACCCTATAGTCCTGATTTAAATCCAATAGAAAACGTGTGGAGTTTACTTAAAGACCGTCTTAGTAAACGTCCATTTAGATCTTTAGGCCTAGGTAATAACGAAGAGAGTATTAATACCTTTATTAAAGCTATAAAAGAGGAGTGGCAAGCTTTATTATAATAGGATATAGATAATTGAATTTTATTACTACCTAGGCGTTATAACGCTGTAGTAGAAGCAATGGGCTGGTATACAAAGTATAAGATAGCATTAATATCTAATTATATCTAAAAATACTGTTTTTCTTATTCTTTATTTATTAGAATACTTTAGTAAGAATGTATAGCTTATAAACTAGGATGTTATCTACTAATAGAAAAATTATATTATATTTAGCTTATAGCTAATTTGGTACGTCTACTATTAAGTAAATTTAAGTTTTAGTTAGCGTTTTATAGTACTCTAAGTTGAACTTTAAATAATATCTTTAAACTGCTAACTAAGCAAAAAGCTATCTATTCAGCTAAATCTTATAGATCGTAGCTTTTCAGAGCACTATCCCATTAAGACTTTTCTAGTCTAGATCTAAAGTTATAATAATTTAAACACTATAACTTTTCTTATTACGTTTTATTTGTGTCACCCCTCTGTAAGTACTAAGGTTTAAGTTATCTCTTTAGAATACTTTTAGTGTAGCCTTATACTAGTACTATTCGCGCTCACTTACTCTAGAAGTAATCTAAGTTAGTTTTTAGTTAATCTACTATTAAAGCTTACTATTATAAGAAGATAGAGTCTATGCTATTACTTAAGATTCCTATTATAGGTGTACGTTCGATAATTTTAATATATAAAGGCTTAAAAGTAACAGAAAGATACCTTAGTAATTAACTAGAAGGTAGTTTAGCTATTATTAATAGAGATTTAGTAGTAAGAACTACGTTACTCCGTAGCTTAGCGTTTTCCTAGGTTAGTTAGTATACTTAGTTAACTAAGCTAGCTGTCTACCTATAGAGGTCTCTTATAGTTAGTACTAGTACTAAATTCGTCTTATCTTCGTCTTCTTCTTCTTCTTATAGTAATAAAGTCTCTAGAGATTCCTAGATTAGCAGCTTATTAGCTTTCTTCTCTAAGATAGTTTAAACTTATAATTAGACTAATTTTTAAAGTAGTTTCTTAGAACCACTAGGTTTTTCTAAGTTAACTGTTAGCTATTACCTCTAAAGTTAATAGGTTATTAGTAGTCTCTAAGTCTTTACTATAGCGTACTCTATATAACTTTTACTAAAGTAATCTAACGTGTTTTATAAGTAATCGGCGCGTATAAGCGAGCGGCGCACTCTACTAACTTTGCACACCTCTCTACGTATATAGCTCTACTATAACGAAATAAAATTTATATATACTAAGATAGTAGATTAAATACTATCTAAAGTATCTTTCTTATATATACGCGAATTATAGCTAGTCTCTCTATACCTACTACACTACGCTAGAGCCTAGCGGCTAATACCTAATTACTCTCTTTCTTAACGCTCTTTATAAGTAATCTATTAATTAGCCTCGCGCTAAGTAAGTAGATCTTTTCTAGCTCTCTTTATTAGTACCCCTTACTTCTATATTCGCTTTTTTTTACGCTGTCTACGCTTTATTACTACTATATTAGCTCTCTTAAGGCTAGTAATCTAATTATGTATTAGCTTAGCTAAGAGTATTATTATCTCTACCCCTTTCTTTAGCTAGTTAATTGCTATAATAATTAAAGCTAGCGATAAGCTTTAGTGCCGCTAAACGTAATTGTATATTAATATTAGTTAAGCTTTAAGCTCACGTGTGTTGCTAGACGTATAAGCCTACTAGAGAGCCTCTAGAATAGCTAGTAGAGTAGGCGTACAGAGCTTTATATTAAGCTTTAATCAAATAGCGTCTAGTTAGAGAGAAATAAGGTCTACGCTATAGAAGGTAGAGTAGATATTCGCTAGCATAAAGGATTAATTAAACGCTACCTTAAACGCTAGTAGAAACTTAAGCTTAGTAATATAGTTAATATAGTAGTAGATTAGACTTTCTACCTTCTAGCTATACGCATAATTTAATAGCGAGAAATAGCTAACGTTAGGAGACTAGAGTAGATAAGATAAGTGCGGCACTATATAGAGAGTATAGATATTATTCTCTTTATAGAACTTTTAGAATTTAAGAGACTAGTAGCTCTTATAACTGTTAAGAATAAGTAGACGATATATACTAATAACGGGAGTTATTATAGAAGTAATAAAGTAATTTAGCTATATAACGCCTAGCTTATTATTTATCTAGCTATTATTACTAACTGCGATTACCTACTCACGTAGGATCTCTACCTTATACTAGGTAGATAGGTAATATTAGCTAGCGAAGATAAGAAGTAGTAGAACTAACTAGCTAGCTACATTAATCGCTGCGATTAGTATTACCTACTTACGATTACCTAGCTTAACTACCTTTAGCTAGCCTCTTCTCTCTAACGCTATTATAATAAGCTAAGTTATAATCTTATCTATTATAAAGCTAGCTTTATTAAAGTTATAGACGTCTTTATTATAGATACTTTACTTAGCCTATATCTACTCTATAAGCTTAAACTAGCTCTTAATTAGAGCTAGATCTTTATATAAAGCTCTCTACTTATTATACGCTTAATTAAAACGCGTTATAAGAGAGCCTATACGCCTAATAAAGTTAGCTAGCCACTTCTGCCTAACGTAGCTAGTACTACGTGTTAAAATAAAGAGGGTGCTACTTGTTCTATAGCTAGCTCAGAGGTAGAGTTATCTACTTGTCTAGCGATAGACTCAGAGGTAGCGAATCAATAGGTTCTAGGATAAAAAGAGAGAAATAATGCTAGAGAAGAGAGATAGGAATTGGATTAAACTAATCTAGTAGTCTAATCTGTTCTTATAATCTGCTCTACTTTATATCTACTAGCTATTCTACTACTATATATATTAGCTTTACTAGATTCTAGAAGAATCTATCTAGTAGTAGATTACATATCTATAGACGTAATAGATAGATAAATTATTTAGAGATTAGTGGACTAAAGAATCCGAGTATCGTACTAATTACCAGGATTATATTAGAGATTAGCTAATTAGCTTATATCTCTAACACGCCCCTTTAAGCTAGGCAGCTAAGATCTGAGATATATCTATTAAATTTGCTTGTAATAGAAAATCTTAAATCTTCTTAGCGTTTGTCGCCTTCGTAAGACAATTAGCTAACGTGTTCCACTAGTAAGCTAGACACACTAGTAAGCTAGACACCCCACCTAACCTAACGCCACTTTCTGTGCAATTGATTCACAACAACGCAATAAAATAAGATAAGATTAAGAAATACGATTTAATATCTAGTTTTACAGGTAGTCCGAGTATGCTCTTAAATATAGCACTTAGTACACGTCGGCGGCGCGCGCTGTCGTCGCTAACTGCTCTCACCCTGCTTAACCTCCGTAACTACTCTTTCTATCTCTGTAGTAAGCTGCTAAGCCTACTAAGCCTAGAGCACTCCACTAGAAGCAATATATTAACGCCGTCTATCTTACTTTTGTTTTTGACGCTAATTAGCTACACGTAGTTTCTTATTTTCTTTAGTAAGTATAGTTACTAACTGCATCGCTATTTAATAGCCTTTAATAACCTAGCGTAAAAGCCGGCTTATTAGGCTTTATAATTCCTAATAGAGTCGTTCTTAAAGAAGCTTTGCCTACTACTAAAGCTAGGCTACTATATACGGTGTTTCTACCTATATTATAGCGTTATTATCTATAGTTATCTATGGTGGAGATAGTATCCTAACGATAGTAAGTAATAATAGGACACGATCTAGATAAGAAGGGAGAAGCCTAGTCGCCCGAAAGCTAGCTTAAATATTCTATTAAGTAAATACTATTAGCTAGATCTATGTATAGACTGTAAGGAAGTCTATCTTATTAATATAGTTAACGCCTTAGCGAGCGAGCTCCTTAATCTCACGCCTATACGCGCGCTTTAGCGGTAAGAAGCAGCTTATATTAAGTAGCTAGAGAAGATAAGAGGTATAAGGTGGCATATAGAGAGTGATAATCTTGTTCTTAGCGTAGTACTAGTTAAACTCTAGCATAGCATAGCTACTGTGGCCGTCTAGAATAAGAAGACAATAGACTTTAGCCGTACGAGCGGCTGTATACTAGTTAAAATGCTTTATCTACTCTACACCAAGCTCGTCTATTATCTAGCTATTATCTAAGACGCCGATAGTCCAGTTAAGAGGGAGGTCGCGATACTAGCTGTTCTAGTAGACTTTACTAGATAGAATTACAAATAGTAGTAAAGACCAGCCAGACGCATTAACGCACTTAATAACTATTACCTACTCGCGATTACCTAGCTGTACGACGACTGCCCAACCAACTCTTTCAAAGCTTATAACTACTTTTAACGTCCTAGCGACGCCTATAGCGAACCTAGTCTCGTTAAAGTTATAGATATCTTAGTCGAGAATGCCGTACGTCTAGCGCGTCTCCTCTACTAGCTTAAACTAGGCTGTAATCACAGTAGGATCCTCGCAGTGGGCGCGCTAGCTACTTAATCTTCTAGTCTACTTTGTCTAAAGCTCTGGCTGGCTCTAAATAAAGCGTGATACCTAGTTCTTGCCTATAGGTTATAGAGGGGGATCTTAACCACGCGCAGCAAGTAGAGTGTCTGCTATCCGTCGCACGTCGATAATATAGGGCAGAAAGCTACGCCGATCTAGCTCTAGAATCTACTGAATAAGAGAGTGCTCCTTAATAGATAATAGCTTACGCCTAATAGACGGAGTATCTAATTATGGCTAAGTACCATAGATACGCGTATATAGAGTTGACTTTAGTACGTTATACGCTTTCGTAAGCGCACGGATAGGCTGTTTTTTATTATTATAATAGGATGCTATAGTAAGACTTATTCTGCTTTTATAAGAAGTTAATTAAGCACTTTATTATCGCGGCATAGTGGTGGTTGTGTCAAGCGTTGGGTTAGGTTAGGTAGGGTGTCCAGCTTACTAGTGTGTCCAGCTTCCTAGTGGAACACGTTAGTAGGTAGCTAGTATTTTAATATTGTAGCTAGATCTGTTTGGCCTCTACCTTCTCACGTACGAAATAGTATTAAATATCGATATATTTAGTTCTGGCGTAGTAGGTGGGATTTTTAGATAGCTAGATCGCACTCTAGCTATTAGAGTATATTATAACAGTTCCATCTAATAGTATATCAAATAGTTATTTAATCTCTTTAATAAATTAGATTAGATAGATACTCTATTTAGTTAATTTGCGATATGCCATGAATTCGGCTTCTGCGCTTAATAGAGCTACTATTAGTTATAGCTTTGATAGCTATAAAATTATATAGTAGTTCTTATTTAGTTAAAGCTAAACTATATATCCTATCGTAGATCTTCGACTATTAAGATCACCGCCCCAATCTGCATCCGTAGATCCGATTAGCTTAATCTAATCTAATCTAACTAATATAGATTAATCTAACTGAATAGATCTAGCTTAGGAGCTAGTATTAAGTTAGTAGAGTAGTCCAATCTGCTTTAATTAAGATAGATATCCCTAGAGGTAATCGAGACTGCTAAAATACTCTAGACTTAGATTAGCTATAAATCTAGATAGAAGATTAACCACGTAAGTCATATCTAGCTAAGTAAAAGTAGATAAGTAGATTAGAGAGCTAATTTATTATTAAAATAGATTAGTATCTTTTACTATCGCTATCTAATCGTTTTTACTAAGCTTTATACTATATTAAAGAGGTATTTACCTTAGTTTAACGTTCTCTTTGTTAAAACGGATAAGTAGCCTTTAAAGATAGCTCTCTTAGGTGATGTTGATTAATCGATCTAATCTAATAATTTAGATACTAAGAAACTTAGAAACATTACCTAGATCTTTAATCTCTAGATCTAATATATCTAATAGATCGCGGAATAGATTCTTAATTTTTTACTCTTTTTCTCTAAATATAAGTAGATCGTCTATATAAGTAGTGATTATAATCTTCTAATCGCAATTAATATATATAGCTGTATTAATAGATAGAGGTTAGAATTCTAATTAGCCTAGTAGGCTTACTAGTAGCTTCTACTATTATCTACTAGCTTATTTTAATCCGTATAGTGCCTTATTAAGTAGATAGACGTGCTGAGGGTATTATAGATCTGAAAATCCTTCTAGTTACTCAATAAATATTATAGTATTAATAAGAGCATTTAGGAAAGCTTATTTAATATTCTAGCTTTAAATAATCTAGTCTTAAGCTGTAGCTATCGCTATTAGCAATCTAATAAGATTAGGCCTAGTAGTATTAGCGAACGTTTCTTAATAGTTAACGCTAAATTCTTATTAAAATCCTTTTGCTACCTAATAAGCTTTAAAGATATAGTTATTATTTTATTAGTTTTTTAGTTAAGTACCTAACGACCTTTAAGAACTAGATAGCTAGTAGGCCTTAGCACGAGCGTCTAGGTGTTATTCTTCTGTAGTTAATCTAGCTCTTTCTGCATTACTAATAGATATTAATCCCTATTAGCGTATTTAAGAACTTAAGCGTAGTATTTTAGATTAGTGATATCCTTAGAGGTAAATAAGATCTTCTCTAGAATAATTTTCTCTATTGAAACTTTGGTGGATAGAGCTAATACGGCTGTTCTAGCTCTGTTCTTAATTAGAATAATTAGATTCTTTATAACTATTCTCTATTAATTAGTAGATTAATTAGTAGATTAATCAATTTTTAACGTCTTTATCTAATCTCTCTTTTGATAGAGATTTAATTAGTTTCTTAATTAGTTTCTTAATCAATTTCGAGTTGCGATTTATAATCGTGAGCTTAATTATTAAACACTCCTTAAGGTATTCTCACATCTCTCGTAGTTATAATCTTATTTAACTTTAGATTAATTAGTCGATATAGATTACTACTAAGATAGCTAGTAAGATAGTATAGCTAAACTTAAGAATTAAGTTTACTAACGAATTCTTTTAGCTCTTTTCAATATACTAGAGATCCCTAGATTTTAATATTGCTGATATTTAGCTTATATCTATATTTAGCTTTAAATAGTGTTTGAAAGCTAATAGAACTATATAGCGTTCTATTATATAGATATACTACTAAGAGTAACGCTCCTACCTATAGCTTATTTAGCATTTTAGATTTGAATAGTAGAGCTCTTTTTTATTAAATAGTATTTAATTGATCCGTTTAGCACTACATTTACCTCCTATGTTAAATAGAGGGGTAAATCAGAGTTTAAAACCATTTCTATTTAAGAGCTTCTGTAGATCCTTCGTATTTAGCTCATTATCTAATTAGATAAGCTTAATCTACTTTAAATCCTATACCTTAGCTCGTTTAATAAAAGCTTTAACTAGTGTTATAAGCTCTAATCTAGATGTAAGAAGATTAACTTCTAGATACTTAGTATAGTAGTTAAGAAAGGTTATATAGTACCTATAGCCCTTATTCGTTTTTAGCTTACTAGGCCCTCCTAGATCGCAGTAGATAAGATCGCCAAAATTATTAATTAGAGTTAAGATTAAATCTCTGCTTATTTTACTAGCAAATTTACTTTTTAAGCATATCTCGCAATTGCTAAATAAGTTACTAGTCTTAGTCTTTAATCTAATACTATTAGTATTTTCACGAAGCTTATTTAGGCTTATTTTTCTAATATGGCCGAAACGTTAGTATAGTAGAGATATCTAATTATTCTAATTAATAGATTTTAATTAATTAAGCTGTTCTAATATCTCTAATAAATCTAATTATTTAGATAGATTCGATATATTAGATATTAGACTTATCTGATCTAATAGGCTTGATTAATTAAAGAGATTTAGCTAATCTAACTAATTAATTAATTATACTAAGTTATTAATCTCTACATAGATCTAATTAGTTTAATAGATATTACTAATCGTAGTAAAGATCGCGATCTTTCGAGCGTATTATCCCTTAGCTAGTATCTTACTAGAATAAGTAATTAGACTATAGTTCTTAGCAAATTAGAATTCTACTCCTTTTTAGACTACTTAATAGAGACTTAATAGATTAACTTAAAAGTCTAGTACAAAGAGTACTTCTTTTAGCACTACTAATCTACTAGTGCTAGTAAATATAATTAGTACTTCTCCTTTAGCTATTACTAGTAGTAGTGTTCCTATATTACTCTATTTAATATAGATATTAGATACACTAGTAAGATTCCAGAATAGAGTTTAATCGCAGCAGATATACGCACTAGCTCCACTATCTAGTATTCACTTAATAGATTTCGTAGATTAGATAGATCTAGTAGTATTAATATCAGCAATATTTTAGTCTACTAATATAATCGTAGATAGAGCTTCTTCTAATTTAAATATGCTCTAGTTGGTGCGCTTAGATAGATCTTTTTACTAACATTAATTAACTAGATACCTATTTCTTCTGCAGTAGCTGCAGTGCTTCGAGCTTCTATTAGATTTCTAAGTTAATAAGGACATTTCTATATTCTTAGATTAATAAGATTAATATAATTAATCGAATCTATAATTAGATTGATGGTATAGATTGGATTAATTGAATAGATCGGATTGATAGGATGGATTAGATCGATAAGATTTAATATAGCTCCTTTAAATCGAGCTATTTAAGCTGCTAGAGCTATTCTTAATAGATCTAAGCCGTCTAGATTTGTCAATAATCTAGCTGCACATCATTTTAAGATCAATTTCTTTATTTAATCTAAAGTCTTGCGGGATCGCAGTAGTGAGATAATTAAATTCTAAACTCAAATTAATAAGTATTAGCGTAGTAATGAATTAATCGGGCAGTTTAATTTTATAAGGTTTCAAGCTTAGAGTAAGCCTTAATAGCTTTTAAAGATAGATTTCAACGTTATTTTAGCAGCTTACGAGTATAGTATTAATTAAATCTTTATAGATTAAGAAATTAGAGCTAAACCCTTTCTAAGAGTATAGAGTTTTAAGATTATTCTATAGCTCTACTGGACTAGTATACTCCTTCGTCTAAAATAGTGGTCCGTCTTCGAGACTTCGTCTAATCATAGCTAGCGCCTTTAATTCCTTTTCTTTCAATTTATTAAACGTATCTAGATATTAATCTAATATAAGATTAGATAGATCTATATTTATTATATTAGCTTAATCTTACTAAATAAGAATAGATTAAATCCGCAGTACCTATATATCAAAATTTAAGCTCCCTTTAAGCTTTAGTACTTTGAAGATACTATTAGCTATTTTAAACTATTATTCTAGATCAGCTAATAAGCTTATATATATGCTAATACTATCGCAGTTACTATTCTTTCTATAAAGAACTCTAGCTACTAATCAATATAGATTAATATATTATAATTAGCTAATCTAGCTTTAGATAAACCTAGTATCTAGAGTTTTTCAGCTTCTTTAGCCGTAGTTATCTCTTAACTCTTAT